GGCAGTCAGCATTGAGAAATGCCTTCTATCTGCCTAATCACAAGAGCACTCTCAGGAGACAGTGTCTCTATAGAACTCTCAAAGTCAATGAGACTCTCAGTGATTATTTTCAGGACAAACAGACATTGCAACACTATGTCTATCCTCCTGGTACTCCAGACAAGGAACTCATTGATGACATGCTGGAAGGGATACCTCAGCACTTCAGGCCCCTCATTAAAGCCAGTGTCAATTCCCTTACCACCCTGGAAGAGTTCCGCCGTACTCTCATTGACTTGGAACCAGGTCTGAGGAGCACCACTATCAGACCTCACAATGGTGCTATTACTCCACAAAGATCCACCTACCAGCCTAGGACACCTCAGGCCAACAACTCGAGCACCAAACCTCCCAGTCCTTGTCCCATCTGCAAAGGAGACCATTGGAGGAGAGATTGTCCTCACAACCAAGTGAAACCAGCTGCAAAGCCTTTCACCAAAAGGACTGGTTCTTTTCCCAACAACACCTACTCAGATGGTCATAGATGGAAACCTCATCAGGCCAACAATGTTACCACCAAAAGAGTACATTTTGATGACATCCTGGATGAAGTTGAGGTTCCAGAACAGCCACCAGCCAAGAGGACAGAACAACCTACTACTGCTGCCCCTCTTCATGAGCTTCATCAGGGCAAAACCCCCACTTATGCCACATGTGCCATCAACAAACCAGAAGGGCCTATGCATGAAGTTTGCATTGATACTGGAGCTTCCATTTCTCTTATGGACACAGCTTATGTCAAGAGCAATTTCCCCAACCTAAGGATCAACTATGGATCTACCTTTCAGATCAAAGGTTTAGGGGAATCTACTGCACTTGGTCATATCAACACAGACCTCCACTTCAAGACAGTTGAGGGAGATATGATCAGCCTGCCCATTGCCTTCTTCTTGACACCCAACATGGCATCAAAGATAATCATTGGAACTGATTTCTTGGATCATCATGGAGCCATTGTCAACTTAGAGAAAGGAAACCTCAGCCTCAAGGGACAAACAGGCAGCATAGCTTTGACAACAACTGCCTCTCCTGGAAAGTTTGCCATGTTCAGAGCAAAGGAGGCATATCACATCCTTCCAGGTCATCAGCAGACCATAGTGATGGAAGCTCAAGGACCTCACACAGCTCAGCCAACTCTATACTGCTTTGAGCCAGTTCCTCTCAACAACCATGTTGCAGCAGCCAGGACTATTGGCACTCTGAACAACCATGTTCAGCAAACACAAGTTCTCAACACAGGACAAAGACCCATCAGTATTCCTTCTGGAATGGCTCTAGGATACTGTGTACCTCTCATTGACAGAACTCAACAGGCTGTCAAGTCAAATGAGCAGGCCTTTCCTCATGTCAACAACATCACCACCTCTGAACTCTCCCAAGAGTTCAAACCATACTTGGACAGCATGGACATCAATCAAGAACTCAACAGTCAACAAATCATTGATATGAAACAAATCATCATGGACAACCTCAAAGCCTTTGCATTTGGCTCCAAGAAGTTAGGACAAACCAACCTGGTCACCATGAGCTTGGACACTGGAGACAGCAAACCAATCTCCACTGCTCCTTATCATGCTTCACCTGCTGGACGGAAGATAATCGACGACACACTGGCAGAGCTTATTGCAGATGATGTCATAGAAGAGTCTGACTCTCCTTGGGCATCTCCTGTTGTGCTTGTCCGCCAAAAAGGGAAGGATCGGTTCTGTATTGACTATCGAAAAATCAACGAAGTCCTCAGAGCAGATCAATATCCGATTCCTAGGATCGACGACATTCTTAGCCAGTTTGCAGGAAAGCAATACTTTACCACCTTTGATGCCAACAAAGGCTTCCACCAGGTTGACATTGTCCCTGAAGATCAACACAAAACAGCTTTTAGGACTCACAGGGGTCTACACCAATTCAAGCGGATGCCCTTTGGTCTCAAAACAGGACCATCTGTCTTTCAGCGGTTGACAGACAGGATTTTGGGAAGATACAAGTGGCAAATTGCACTTGTCTACATAGATGACATCATTGTCTACTCAGAAAACTTCGACAAACACCTAGAGGATGTCAACATGGTACTCCAACTTGTGGCCAAATCAGGCATCACACTTTCACCAAAGAAGTGTCATGTTGGCTATCAGACTATCAAAGCTCTAGGACACTCAGTCAGCAACCTTGGCATTGGCACCACTCAAGAGAATGTCAAGGCAGTAATGGAATTTCCCACTCCAACCAATGTCAAAAGTCTTCAAAGATTCATTGGTCTGGCAGTTTACTACCGGAAGTTTGTCAAGGATTTTGCCCAAGTAGCAGTCCCTCTATACAGACTGATGAAGAAGGATGTCCCCTGGGAATGGGATGACAACTGTCAGGCAGCAATGGATCACCTCAAAACTGCCTTAACACAAGCTCCAACACTAGCACATCCCAACTACAACAAGCCATTCCTCCTATACACAGATGCCTCAACTGTAGGGCTGGGAGCAGTATTGGCTCAACTGGATGACAACAACCATGAACACCCTGTGGTCTACCTCTCTAGGACACTAAACAGTGCAGAGAGTAACTACACTTCAACTGAGATGGAATGCTTAGCAATAGTCTGGGCAGTCAAGAAGCTACATGCCTACCTGGATGGATGCACCTTCACCATCATCACAGACCACTCAGCCCTGCAATGGCTGCTTGACTTCACTGGGACCAACAAGAGACTTGTCAGATGGTCAATGGAATTGCAGTCATACAGGCCCCACATGACCATCCGTTATAGAGCTGGAAGGGTGCACTCCAATGCCGACCCCCTTTCCAGAGCACCTTTACCCATATCAAATATGGTCTATCCCCTCTGCAATCACATCACTACAGTTGATACCAACTCAGGCTTTCATCAAAGTCTCAAAGCTGGCTACTCCAAGGACAAGGACTTTGGTCAGATATATGACCAACTGATGACAGAGATACCCCCTCCTCATCTCAACAAGTTCTTATTGCAAGATGGAATCTTGTACTACACGGATCCAACAAATCAACAACTCAGAACATGTGTTCCTCAGTTGCATAGAATCAGGATGGATATCCTCCATGACCATCATGATGCCGTTACTGCTGGACATCTTGGATTTCACAAGACATACAACAAGATTGCAAGAGTCTACTACTGGCCCAAACTTGGTCAGGATGTCAAAGACTACATCAGATCTTGCTCTTCTTGTCAACAGAACAAGAACCCTACCAATGGACCCAAAGGACTCTTACAACCTTTGAACATTCCTCCCCAAAGGTGGCACACTGTCACTATGGATTTTGCTGGTCCTTTCCAGCCATCTGGATCATACAACCAGATCACTGTGGTTGTGGACAAGCTGTCAAAGAGGACACACTTCATTGCCAGCAACATCACAGACAAGGCTACAGATACTGCCAACAGATTCTGGGATCATGTGGTCAAACTTCATGGTATCCCAGCTGTGATAGTCTCTGATAGAGACACAAAATTCACCTCTCTCTTCTGGAACACCCTGTTCACAAGGTTTGGCACCAAATTGGCTATGTCATCTGCCTATCATCCACAGACAGATGGACAATCAGAAGTCATGGTCAAGACACTCAAGGACATGCTTAGGCATTTTATCAATCAGAAACAGGACAACTGGAGTCAACAACTACCAGCCCTGGAATTTGCATACAACAACTCTGTGCATCCAACTACAGGTTACACTCCCTTTGAGCTTGACTTGGGATATCATCCTAGGCAACCACATCAGATGGAGACCACTGAGTCTTTCAAGGTTGAGAGTGTGGAAGACTTCATTGAGCAGCAAATGGCTACTGCCAGCATTGCACAGAATCAATACCAAGTTGCTCAACAGACCCAGGCTCTCAACTACAACAAAGGCAGACAACCCCCTTTGGCTTACAAAGCAGGAGACAAGGTCATGCTTAGCACCAAATACATCAGACCTCCTTTCCTCCAAACTCCTGGTTCCAAGAAACTTAGGAACAAATGGATAGGACCATTTAAAGTTACCAACAAGATCACCCCTACTACATACACTCTCGATCTACCTGATCATATCAAGGTACATCCCAACATCAATTCAGAATATCTCAAGCCCTACTTTGAGTATCCTGGTAAATTTCCAGAGCACAACATACCTGCTCCAGAGCCTGTCAAATTGGACAACCACCTGGAGTTTACTGTTGAGGAAATACTGGGAGAGCGCAAAGTCAGGAAAGCTACAGAATACCTTGTCAAATGGCAAGGGTATGAACTGCATGATGCTACATGGGAACCAGCCAAGCACTTAGAAGGGAATTTCCAATTTGAAGACTACCTTCTGGCGCAACAAGCTTCCCAACAGTGACTATGTGGTCTACACATGATCATCACTGAGTGTTGCTTCATCATCTGCTGTTGCATCACTCTCATCACAATCACCTGTTTCATCAAAAACCTATTCCACCTCCTCATCAAGGCCATCACCTGTTCCATCATCAAACCTCTTTCATCACTTTCATCACTTCCATCAGTGACATCACTGGCTTCATCTGGCAACCACTGGAAACATCTATCAACCAACATGTTTCAGCCACCAGAACATCTATCACTCAACCAGTTTCAGCCACTAGAAAATTCCATCAATGACATCAGTGTTTCAACTATCAACCTTCTTTACTTGGCATCAGCTTACCAAGCAGCTTGCCAAGCAAGTACTCAGTCAGGTCACCAGGTCACCAGTGACTGGGTTAGAGGACTTTTTTTCAAGCATGTGGACTTCCTGGTAGTCCCAGATGCGAAGTTACTGGTCCAGGATTTACATATAAACCCCCCTCAACACTGGGAAATTATCCAACCAACTTTGACTTTCAATTGATTCACCAAATCACACATACCCATTCCTACTTGACATCTCCATCACCCTATATCTCCGCCAGTTTTTACGCTATCCGCCTCATTCAAGTCACAAACGATGCGTCTTCCGTCTATCTCCCACCGCCCCCCATCGGTTCCCGGCAATCAGCAACGGTTCAAGCTCGACAACGCAATTTTGAACGGCATTAAATCGAAATTTCCCCTCCCTTTAATCACCTCTATCACTAGACATGATCTAGAGACCTCCTCCTCCACCAACACTCTAAAGCTAGTCTACAAACTCGATATCAGTACCCCAGAGAAGAGTGTAGGAAAGACTATTAGGATGCAGGAGAAGGATATGAGATGGTTTGGGAACAAGGAGGTTAAATTGGGAGAATATTGGGGAAGGAAAAGGGTTCAGGAGAGGAATTTGGATAAGTTCAGGCAACTGCTACTTGACCAGGGACCTCTAAACAATAAAGGGGCATGGAAGGCACTCCCAGAAGTCGAAAAACTCGCCCTAGAATGGCTGGAGTTACACCACAAACTCCCCCAATGGACCCCAGGCTTAGAGTTAGAATCAGCCTTCCTCATCACCTCTGCTCTTCCCCAACCTCAATCAAACAACATCGATATCTCCGTCAATAATAACGCTATCCCGACGATTCAACACGGTACCGGAGTTTCTCATCAGCCCGGTCCGGTCAACGAAAGAATCACGCCGATCGGACAAGAACTCGACCCGCTAGAGCAAGATCCACAACCCCCTTTTCAACCCCTTCCTGATATTCATACCTTTTTCATGCAACCCTATTTCGACACTCCCCCTGGTCCCAGCGCCGTCAATCCGGTCTTATCTGAAAGGGGCAACGAAAAGAACGACAACGACACTACTTTCACGGCAGTAGCTAGTCAGGAGCCCGCTCCACAGACGCTTCAAACTCGGCGCTCTAAAAGCTACTTGGAGAGGAACTTTTGGAGGGGAGAATATGAGGAATTAGACCCTATTTACTTCAAAGGGAAGACTCCTGGTGGGGAATTGAGCGTCAACACCGATGCGTGCAGGGAGTACGGTCAATATGACCCTATTTTGGCCGAGATTGAGTTGGAAATGGATGAGGAATGATCACTTTTACCTTAGTTTGACTTGTCATTTTTGCCCAAAAATACAAAAACCCAAAAACATGTCTTTTACCTTAGCTATTTTATTTTACTTGCTTGTACCTACCTTGTTCTCATCAATTCCTGTAGACACAGCGGGACGCTGCGTTGTTTCAGGGGGGGAGTGATGTAAAGGATCAGGGGAACAACTTGTACCTTCTACATAGTTTCACATTCCGTACTTTGTACATTCCGCACTTTGTACTTTGCACATTGTACGATGTAAAGGATCAGGGGAACAACTTGTACCTTCTACATAGTTTCACATTCCGTACTTTGTACATTCCGCACTTTGTACTTTGCACATTGTACATTGTACTTTGTACATTGTACAATGTACGACTACCTCTTATCTTTGTACTCCTAGTCTACTCATGAGTATATATAGGAGGCAGGAGGAAGGGGATCAGGGTACAACACTCTACCTCTTTACTCTGCACTCATCTTACTACCTAGTCACAAGACCCTACCTTAGTGTCTTCCTGCACAACAAAGTCACCTTCACACACAACAACCTTCGCCAATCCCTTCAAGGCTTAGCTACCCTTGTTGCTTCTTCCACTGGGTGTTAGAGAGAGTAAGATAATTGTTTGTTAAAGGAGAAGTGTTGAGACAACTGCGAGAACCGGATAAATTAGTTGTGAGAAACCTAACTTTCCCTTAAAAGAAAGCTTGGTCCATCACACTTGGGGGCGCTTCCCGGACCACTCGCCTACACCTCCGACAAAAACAACACATTACTACTCCCTTCATCCACTCCACACACCTCTTCTTCATTCACAACTCACCAATCAAACCACTGGACGCAGTGTCAAGTATTTGACATACTTGCAACAGCTTGTTTCTGGCTTCAGATAGCTGTCAAGATCTAGATCACCTGCAACCTTTGACCTAAAGAGAGCTGGTCAATTGCAGTCTCACCCAAACTCAGTGCAGCTTTGGAAGAATTGTTGCAACAATTAGACTATAGGTCTCAAATCTCTTGTTTCAACTCAGCAAACAAGCAGCATTTCAACATCCCAGAGAGGATCAACAACTAGACTATAGGTCTCAAATCTCTTGTTTCAACTCAGCAAACAAGCAGCCTACACAATGGGATCAGAATCCCCAGACCCTCTAGCCATTGGCTCCTCAGACACATCTGAATCTCAGCATCAGATTGAACAGCACACAACTCAGGCAACTAGACAGTTCCCTAGGCATCAACCTTCCAGGAATCCACCTGTCCCACCTATCCTTTCATTGGATAGCCATCTAGGTGGAACCCAATCTGTTCCATCTGCCCCACCTTTGAATGCTCAACCTACCATTCCAGCAGTCTCATCTACTCCAGCTGTAGTCTCTGATGATGCACTGAGTCAGATCATGCAGCAACTTGCTGTGCTACAGAACACAGTAAATACTGTGCAACAGGAAAACATCAATCTCAGGGAGGACTTAGCTCGGCGCAGCACTATCTCTCCTCATCCCAGTGATCACTATGACATCAAACCACAGTTGTCCCGTAGTGACACTCACTCAGAGTCCTACTCTGTCCACAAGTCTAAACTCAAAGCTTCAGACTTACCCAAATACAATGGCAGGGACAGTGAAGACATAGATCAGTGGATTGAAAAGGTCACTGCTATCTTTGAATTCTCCAACTGTCAGGATTCAGAACTACTGCAAAGACTGCCTATGATCCTCCAAGGCAAGGCTCTTACTTGGTTCACTCAACTAGGCAGAGAGAAAAGGAACACTCTTCTCACCTGGGCTCAATGGCAGTCAGCATTGAGAAATGCCTTCTATCTGCCTAATCACAAGAGCACTCTCAGGAGACAGTGCCTCTATAGAACTCTCAAAGTCAATGAGACTCTCAGTGATTATTTCCAGGACAAACAGACATTGCAACACTATGTCTATCCTCCTGGTACTCCAGATAAGGAACTCATTGATGACATGCTGGAAGGGATACCTCAGCACTTCAGGCCCCTCATTAAAGCAAGTGTCAATTCCCTTACCACCCTGGAAGAGTTCCGCCGTACTCTCATTGACTTGGAACCAGGTCTGAGGAGCACCACTATCAGACCTCACAATGGTGCTATTACTCCACAAAGATCCACCTACCAGCCTAGGACACCTCAGGCCAACAACTCAAGCACCAAACCTCCCAGTCCTTGTCCCATCTGCAAAGGAGACCATTGGAGGAGAGATTGTCCTCACAACCAAGTGAAACCAGCTGCAAAGCCTTTTACTAAAAGGACTGGTTCTTTTCCCAACAACACCTACTCAGATGGTCATAGATGGAAACCTCATCAGGCCAACAATGTTACCACCAAGAAAAGGGTACATTTTGATGACATCCTGGATGAAGTTGAGGTTCTGGAACAGCCACCATCCAAAAGGAAAGAACAACCTACTACTGCTGCCCCTCTTCATGAGCTTCACCAGGGCAAAACTCCCACTTATGCCACATGTGCCATCAACAAGCCAGAAGGGCCTATACATGAAGTTTGCATTGACACTGGAGCTTCCATATCTCTCATGGACACAGCTTATGTCAAGAGCAATTTCCCCAACCTAAGGATCAACTATGGATCTACCTTTCAGATCAAAGGCTTAGGGGAATCTACTGCACTTGGTCATATCAACACAGACCTCCACTTCAAGACAGTTGAGGGAGACATGATCAGCCTGCCCATTGCCTTCTTCTTGACACCCAACATGGCATCAAAGATAATCATTGGAACTGATTTCTTGGATCATCATGGAGCCATTGTCAACTTAGAGAAAGGAAACCTCAGCCTCAAGGGACAAACAGGCAGCATAGCTTTGACAACAACTGCCTCTCCTGGAAAGTTTGCCATGTTCAGAGCAAAGGAGGCATATCACATCCTTCCAGGTCATCAGCAGACCATAGTGATGGAAGCTCAAGGACCTCACACAGCTCAGCCAACTCTATACTGCTTTGAGCCAGTTCCTCTCAACAACCATGTTGCAGCAGCCAGGACTATTGGCACTCTGAACAACCATGTTCAGCAAACACAAGTTCTCAACACAGGACAAAGACCCATCAGTATTCCTTCTGGAATGGCTCTAGGATACTGTGTACCTCTCATTGACAGAACTCAACAGGCTGTCAAGTCAAATGAGCAGGCCTTTCCTCATGTCAACAACATCACCACCTCTGAACTCTCCCAAGAGTTCAAACCATACTTGGACAGCATGGACATCAATCAAGAACTCAACAGTCAACAAATCATTGATATGAAACAAATCATCATGGACAACCTCAAAGCCTTTGCATTTGGCTCCAAGAAGTTAGGACAAACCAACCTGGTCACCATGAGCTTGGACACTGGAGACAGCAAACCAATCTCCACTGCTCCTTATCATGCTTCACCTGCTGGACGGAAGATAATCGACGACACACTGGCAGAGCTTATTGCAGATGATGTCATAGAAGAGTCTGACTCTCCTTGGGCATCTCCTGTTGTGCTTGTCCGCCAAAAAGGGAAGGATCGGTTCTGTATTGACTATCGAAAAATCAACGAAGTCCTCAGAGCAGATCAATATCCGATTCCTAGGATCGACGACATTCTTAGCCAGTTTGCAGGAAAGCAATACTTTACCACCTTTGATGCCAACAAAGGCTTCCACCAGGTTGACATTGTCCCTGAAGATCAACACAAAACAGCTTTTAGGACTCACAGGGGTCTACACCAATTCAAGCGGATGCCCTTTGGTCTCAAAACAGGACCATCTGTCTTTCAGCGGTTGACAGACAGGATTTTGGGAAGATACAAGTGGCAAATTGCACTTGTCTACATAGATGACATCATTGTCTACTCAGAAAACTTTGACAAACACCTAGAGGATGTCAACATGGTACTCCAACTGGTGGCCAAATCAGGCATCACCCTTTCACCAAAGAAATGCCATGTTGGCTATCAGACCATCAAAGCCCTAGGACACTCAGTCAGCAACCTTGGCATTGGTACCACTCAAGAGAATGTCAAGGCAGTTATGGAATTTCCTACTCCAACCAATGTCAAAAGTCTTCAAAGATTCATTGGTTTGGCAGTATACTACCGGAAGTTTGTCAAGGATTTTGCTCAAGTGGCAGTCCCACTATACAGACTGATGAAAAAGGATGTCCTCTGGGAATGGGATGACAACTGTCAGGCAGCAATGGATCACCTCAAAACTGCCTTAACACAAGCTCCAACACTAGCACATCCCAACTATAACAAGCCATTCCTCCTATACACAGATGCCTCAACTGTAGGCTTGGGAGCAGTATTGGCTCAACTGGATGACAACAACCATGAACACCCTGTGGTCTATCTCTCTAGGACACTTAACAGTGCAGAGAGTAATTACACTTCAACTGAGATGGAATGCTTAGCAATAGTCTGGGCAGTCAAGAAGCTACATGCCTACCTGGATGGATGCACCTTCACCATCATCACAGACCACTCAGCCCTGCAATGGCTGCTTGACTTCACTGGGACCAACAAGAGACTTGTCAGATGGTCAATGGAATTGCAGTCATACAGGCCCCACATGACCATCCGTTATAGAGCTGGAAGGGTGCATTCCAATGCAGACCCCCTCTCCAGAGCACCTTTACCCATATCAAATATGGTCTATCCCATCTGCAATCACATCACTGCAGTTGATACCAACTCAGGCTTTCATCAAAGTCTCAAAGCTGGCTACTCCAAGGACAAGGATTTTGGTCAGATATATGATCAACTGATGACAGAGATACCCCCTCCTCATCTCAACAAGTTCTTAATACAAGATGGAATCTTGTACTACACGGATCCAACCAATCAACACCTCAGAACATGTGTTCCTCAGTTGCATAGAATCAGGATGGATATCCTTCATGACCACCATGATGCAATTACTGCTGGACATCTTGGATTTCACAAGACATACAACAAGATTGCAAGAGTCTACTATTGGCCTAAACTTGGT